AAGATCAAGTTCACTTTGTCAGCCTGTCTCATGCAAAGGCAGCTTGTGAGATTTCTTTCACAAATTAGTGAGATGTCATTAACTCATAATGCAGTATTCATCTGTGTAGTCAACCATTGAATAAGGTGATCTGGGCCAACCCACAGGTTACTTTTGGAGTGATTTATCCACAGTATCAGTGTAAATCTTTCACCTGTGTTTTTTTTTAACATTAGAGATATTAACGTGAACCTAGGAAAAAGCCCATAATTATATGTGACTGTGTATCAGATTCATATTTCATTCCCTCCTCCTAAATATGCAGCTTTAAAGACACAGGACAGCTCATACTCGTGTGGAAATGGAAAGTTTGTTTATGTTCACAGTGATTCAAAATGAGAGGGAACAGAAAAGTGTGAACACAAGACTTACAACAGGAGATAATTAAACAATTCATCTTAGCCCAGATTGCCCCTGCATGAGCTGCCAGGGTAAATGTGGAAGTCTGAAGTGTAGAGCCTGAATTAGGGTTCCCATTATTTTCAGAAAATTATCTGATTTTTGCATTTATCATTTTGGGGTGGTTTTCACTACTTGTATGTTTTCCTCAAACTATAACCGCCATGCTCTAGTCCCTTAATTCCATATCTGAATACAGGGAAGGCATTAGTCTGAACATCAGAAAAGCTACTCACTAATAACAGCTCCCTGTAAATTACACAACAGGCACATCATGCAATATTTCTATAGAATTTACATGATACTAAAAATACAATCAGTATAAATCATTCATTAATAATGTCCTCTGGTTTAGCTTCTTCAGCTGTTTCTAAGTAATCTCAGGTAGCTGCTGTGGCATGTAGTGTTTGTTTTTCTCTCTTTGTTCTTGAATACCTGTTAATTTTTATGTATTTACTATAGATCTGAATATTACTATCTTCATGTTTGAGTTGAAAAGATTAATAGGTTAGTTAAATGGGCAGTGGGGGGAAAAATCTCAGAACAATCAACATTCAAGTAGAGTTAAGAAATGTCCAGGGACTGAAAAAAAGTAAGATAGAGCGAAGGTTGGCAATTAGTCCAGAAAGAAGAGAGCAAAACAGTCCACTATGTGAGGTTAAGTTGCATCTTCTTAAAATGAGTTACTTGGCCAAGCTATTGGTGTTTTAAGTAGACGTTGGCTTTAAAATGTTCATGGCTGTTACATGGTTAGAGTAGTGCCAGGACTTGGTGAGGAGAGCAGAGTTGGACAATTACTGAATGATTTTACAAGAGAACAAACAATTTTCTAAAAAAAATATTTTCAGGTATGCTGTAGTATTTCATATGAGCTGTGGGAGCTGCAGGCCTGGAGACATTCAACTGGGAAGTACCACAGGCAGCTGTGGGCTGGATCTTCAGCTGTCGCAGGGCAGCAACCCAAAGTGCTCCACAACCCCTGCCCGTCACTTGCTGCAGCTCCCAAGGGCCACGTGTTCCATTGGCAGTGAAGATGTGATAGACTCAAGTATTACCTGGCAGTTTTGAGCTGAAGTCCGAATGCAAACACAGCTCCTCCAGCAGCAGTCCCACTCGTGGGGCTCTGCTGTGTGGTCTCTTTACAATAATCCCACTGGTGGAAGTGGTAGTTTCTGAGAAGCAGAGTAATTTGGCATCACTATTTCTAAATGAAATGCAATGAAAGCTCTCCAGGAACATAAACCAGACACGCTCATTGGGGTGAATGACTTGCCTTTTGATGTGTTTCCAAACAGTACCGTTTGGGCCTGACACAAGTCATAGGCATCCTGACGTCTGTCTCTTTGTCCTCATCGCGTTGGAAGGCGTCTCCTCCCAGGATGCCATTTGGGGATGCAGCTCTGTAAAGAGATTATGTCCACAGAGAGGGAGCTCTCCTGACCTCATCAGTCGCACAGCCAGCCGCAGTTCCAGCACCTACACAAGCTAACGCTGAGGCGAGCCCCAAAGATCACACCAGCCCTCATCCAGTTCGGTGCGGCTCTGTGCTGACTGGGGGAGCAGCCGAGTGTCTGGGAGACAGGCTTGTGACATTTATCTTGAAAAAATCTCTGTTGGTTTTGTAACTCCAGACTCCTTCCATGAGATTTTACAGTTCTCTGAAGTGATGAGGACCTCATCTTGTTTTGAAGGTCATTTTAAATAATGTTGAACTCTGTTTGGGGTTGCTTGTTTCTTCCTATATTATAAAAATGTAGACATTACCATCTACCACCACCTGCCCTAAAGGTGTATCTCCGCCTCTCCTTGTGCTTCCTTTGTGGAGAGCTCTTGTAGATTCATAGCATACCATTATTTTATTTCAATTACACCCCAAGCAGAAAAGCTGTGGAGAGCGGCAGTGGTCTCCTAGAGTGCTTGTTCCCCAAGAAACTGTAGCAGCGCCGACAAGCCGCAGGTTTTTCTGCAGCAAAGTCTGGACAAAATCGACCACTCTTTAAAACAGTGCTTCCTGGCAAATGATGTTCAGTCAAGTGGAAGACCTCCTGCAGTGTTTCACTGCCCACACTGGGCTGCTGCTACAAAGAGCAACGACTGTGCCTGCTGAGATGAGTCCCAGAAACTCACAGCTAATGCATCCAGAAATCCTCTTGAGTACCAGCTGATACTTTAGACTCCTTTACCCAAACAGTGTGTTATTTCAGGGAAGTTGCACGTGTAACTTTATTTCAGGCACCAAAGAGAATGTTGTTTTCATGTTTGCAGCATTAAATGTCCTAGCTTTTATACGACAAAAGCTTTATACGATTCTCTTTGTTTATTAAGGGAACAGCTTTACTGACTGTAGATCAGAGACGATGGGAAGATCTGAAAAGCAGACTGAAGATAGCACAACCTCTTCATCTCCCACCTCGTCCGGGTATCAAAGATATTTTTATTTTATTCATGTTGAGCCCTAGTGTTCGTAATTCCCCAGGAGTCTGCGATTCAAATTAAAATTGTAATCGTGAGGCCACTAGGAGGTTGTGCATAAGTTAATGTGGAAACAGGCTCCAAGTACAGATCTCTGCATAAGGCTATTAAAATCAACCCAAAAAAGGTTGTGCTTCGATGGTTTTAGGATAAGCCTTAATGAAAAAATGAATTTCTAAATGAAAAATATTTGCAGTTGGCTGTTAATGATATGAATGGAATGTATTAACCTGACAGCAGTTGAGTGATGCACTTGCCCTACAAGTACCAAAGCCTTCATGCAACACTGGTGTTCAGTATTTGAAATTATATGTTCAGAAGCTCTATTTGATATGGAAAATTGTAGCAGAAAATTAGAAATGTATTTTGAAACTGGTAAAGGATTATTTTGCCTCTAATGACCATGGAAAATATGTCAAGAAATAGGGGAAAAATACTGTGTATTTTAACTCTCCTCCTCGAACTCTTTCTTTTTCAGATAACGATGGCTTTAGAGCTAAGATGTATGATATAACTCAGCATCCATTTTTTAAGAGAACTATTGCTGTACTTGTTCTGGCCCAGTCTGTGTTGTTATCAGTTAAGGTAATTGTGTTTCTTCTAAGTGTTTCATTATAGTAGTACAGCATGTGTTGTGCATTTCCTAACACCGATTAATGATCAGTTGAGCCATTACTGTGATGAATGTAGGAAAACATTATTTCTAGATAAAGCAATCTTAGTTGGCACAGATCACTGTAGATTAATTGTAACTTACAGAGCTGAGTCGATTTCTGCCTTTTTGTAGACTGTCCACTATTTTTATTTCCAGTTAAGTTGTAACTCTGTGAGAGAAGGATATACCAAGATGCCATTCCTGTCTGAATATATTTTAAATTGAAAGCTATTCATTAACAAAACCTGCAAGAAAAGTTAAGGCAATGAATAGACATTTAGTTCTGTTTAACAGCTATGAGCAGATTTTGTTTGCATTTCAGTGGGATGCTGCAGATCCAGTGACTGTGCCTTTAGCAACAATGTCTGTTGTTTTCACCTTCATTTTTGTCCTTGAGGTAAGGTAATATATTTTATGACTTCTTGAGATTAAGACTAGTATGCATATATTTCATTTTGGCTTTAGGGATGTTGTCTCATTCTTCACTACAGCTTTTATTTCTGAACATGTGCGTTTGGGGTTCTCCATGTCACTTATCTTTAAACACGTATTGTAGAAATAAACTTTTAATTTGTGATAGTCATACTTCTCCACCACCTTCAGCTTTGTGTCCTTTTGTATCTATTCAACTCTGAGCATTTCAACTTGTGTTTTGTTGAACCCAGTGAACACTTTTCCTACAGAACATCTCAGGTTAAATTCACTGTCTACAACACAAGGTCTGTGTTGTAACACTGACATTCTGCTCGATTCATTTCTATTTTGCCTGGTTCTTTGGAACAGGGTGTGTTAATCCCCACCATTTTGTAGCTGTGACATCATCAAACCTCGCTCAGTTTTCTTTTGCTTTTTTAAATTATCATACTTCATTTTAACTCCTTTTAATAAGCTATGTCAAATTCCAGTATTATGTATCTGTTGTTGTGTAGATCTGGATCCTGTGTGGTAATGATTCTCTGTCAATGAAAAAATTATCACTACAATCAGCTGTGCAAAGTGTAATTAGCCTGTTTTCATAAGATTGGAACCTAAGGACTTAAACACATTTTTAAAAGTCTTTTTTTTTATGTGTAAGGATATCCATAGTGTACGAAAGCACACATTTATGAGGTTAAAAAAGATACTTCCTGTGTGGTTAGGTTAGTACATAATTCTTTTATAAGTTTGTGGTGGAGTATTTTCTTTTCAGTCCCCTCTGAATAGCTGATACTGACCACTATCAGAAACAGGATAGTAGACTACGTTTCCCACTGCCCTAATCCAATGTGATGGTTCCTATGCTCCAGTGATAGGTTTTGCCAGCGGTGATGAATAAACAATGAAGTGAATACCTTGTAGCAGCTGTAGCTAGAGTATGTCCGTGTTGTTGCTTCTTTTTCCCTACCCAGGAGAAATCATTATCTCTTGAGAGACTGAGCAAACACAGAAAAGTTTGATTTCTATCATGCACAGACGGGTTTTAATTTACCGAGTAACTATGTCCTTAGAAATACTTTTTTCTCTTATACTGCCAGGGGAAACAAATACGCTTCTAGAATTTCAAAGGAGCTTTGTCAGAGCCAAGAAAAATTTGTTGACTGTCTCAACAGGCAGGCTATCACACTGTGACTGCACAGGATTTATGGACAGAGGAAGCAGCTCTCTGCTCAGGATCTTCCCTAATGCAACATAGTCTGGTTACAGAGTCTGCTATGTACATGGCCTGCTACCACTAGCAGACGTGGTCCATGAGGAAGGCCAAAGCTTTCCGCGTGGCTAATGGCCCTGTGTCCAGTCTAAGGACTCCTGGTTCGGTCTTAAACCTCTACTGCTCACCGTAGTATATGTGGTATAGAAGAACAGGAAGAATCTGGAGATCTCACTTTTGTTGCCACACTGATGATCACAGAATTAAGTGAAGTGTGTTATTTGCACGCTGTGATGTTCAGCTCAAGATTATAGACCTCTGAACTTAGATGCTTAAATTCAACGTGTGAGGTAGGTGTTTAAGCTGTCACTGTGATCAAGGGAGATGTAGGGTGAGATTCAGTTGCCTAAATAACTGAAGGCATCAAAAGCTTTTTTGGGTACTCTAGCTGATCTCCCCTTACCTCCACTAGCTACTACAGAAAGGCAGGGGTGTTTCCAGGTCTTGTGTCATCCCTTCCAGCCCCGTGCATCTATCTCCAGTATTTTAGGGCACCTCAGCTGACTGGATAGAGTGCAGATACCTTCAGGTACCTCAGATGAGATTTAGAGATTCAGAGACTGTGTTCTTCATTTGGTAGTCAGGCTTCAGAAAACATTATATGGCAAAAAACTAACCAGAAAATCAGACTTGTACCTCAAAGTAATGTCTCTTTATATACAGTTTAGGTTTCAGAAATGTAAAGAATACTACTAAATGGCAGTGTGGCAAGGTGGGGTGGAAAAAATCATATAATGAATGCCTGACATATATAGCCTTTATATAGTAACACTTGACTTGCTTTGAGATATAATATGAATTGTGTATGAGAAACTCTCAGGTGTTCCCTCTACATGCATCACCCTACCTTGATATCTGGTAGCTTTCGTGACTATTTCTTATCAGTATCTATTCTTAAGCCAGCCTGCACTCCTACTACCTGTATTGGAAATGTCAAGAACTTTGGCTGTTGTTTTTTTACCAGGAACACTGTAAGATGTACTGCCTTTACTGTTCTTAGCTTTCCTCACTTATATGCTGCTGAGTACAGATCGTGCTAAGTACAGATTATTCGTTAAAGCAAGAAACACTTGCAATATAGGAATGCTTTTTAATTAATTTGAAATATGGGAGCTACAGAACACGATTACATTTTTGAGTTCAAATGTGTTTATGTGATTTTAACTTGCTTATGGATAGCTGGATAATTAGGATGCTACTACCTCTTTTAGCTACATATTATTGATATAATAATTTTTTAACTTCATAACTTGCTTAACTATTAGAAATCTTAAGCCTGCATTCACCTCAGCAGTCTATAAATTAAGCACAAGGTCTATACCTTAAGTCTATACATTAATCATGAGGTGGTTGTCTGCACTGCTCCAATATTTGATGGAGAGAGACACTTCCAGAATACTGTTCATCTCTTCATCTCAGGTCATCTGTGGTCTTCAACAAGTACCAGCTTTCCTCCATCTAAGGGAAGCTTATGTGATCCACCTAGTCTAGCAACCTAACTTGTCCACATGGAAACAGTTAGCTGACATGAAAACTGCCCTTGGCTGTTTGAAAACAGTCATAAGGTCAACTCAATCAAACATTTTAGAGGTTCTTATAGTAAGAAATAACCATTTGTTCAGTACAGCCGAGAAAATGGTTTTATCCATAGGTCACAATGAAGATTATTGCCATGTCACCTTCTGGCTTCTGGCAAAGCAGAAGAAATCGTTATGATCTCTTGGTGACTTCTCTTGGAGTTATATGGGTGATACTTCATTTTGCCTTACTGGTAAGATTTACAAAACAATTTCAATGTTTAAGCTTGATTTTATCTGCTAAGCACTGGCAGTAGGATCACTGCTATACATCCAGATAAACTCTTGGGAGTTTAATAAGGCTGAAATATGGCTGAAACAAATTAAGCTTGATGATAAGAAGAAGGAATACTTGTCTTGGGCAATACTGAATTACAAAAGTTGTCTGACATGAGATAGAGTCTGTAAACGTGGTAAAAAAATGAAGTCTTTGGAAATGATGTGAGTGAGGAAAGGAAGGAACCTGAAGAGACTGAGAGCTCTTGCTAACAGCAGTCTCATGAGCAGCAAGGAAGAAAGATGTAATGCACAAAATCCATATAGGAAAGAGGACTGGAAGAAGACATAGATTCAAAATTGCTGAACAATACAATCTGTCCCAAACCCAGCAGTGATTCTGGACCACTGGTTTTGATTAAGAGGCTATGTTTAATCCTAGAAAGCATGGAGGAGAGGGGATGAAATCAGCTCTCCTTCTGTCTCATCCCTGGTTTTTAATGTTGGCTACATCCCTGGTTCCCTTACTTATGAGGGAAGGAGAAGGGATGGTTGATGCTTGTCACCAATCACAAGTTGTGGAAGTCACCACCCTAAAATAGCTCTTGTCTGCCCCGGACTCTGGAGGAAAACATGTCTTGTGTGGCTAGTCATTTTGCCCTGACATTCACAGCTTGCTCCCTGCTGCTGAGTAGCTTGGAAAGCCTGAGGAGTTTCTGTAAGCCAGCAGCTGCCTAGACAAGTAGACTGGGGCTGCTGGACATAATCACAGCCCAGCTAATAGAGGACTGAAGGTTTTTTTGGCTTGAGGTATGGGAAGGTTGGGTTCGTGGTTTTCAAGTGGTAGAGCGTCTCCTGTTCACTCCTTACTGCCCTACTGTTAATGAAATATTTGTGCTACTGGTTTATGATTTATCTTATATCAAATGGCAACTGCCTTACATTATTAAAAGACCAATTATCCTGATCTTTCCATGAGATCCCTGGAGGACAATGTATTAAGTCTTCTGTGTTTCTGTTCCAGAATGCGTACACATACATGATGGGGGCGTGCGTAATTGTCTTCAGGTTTTTCTCAATTTGTGGGAAGCACGTAAGTATAAATTAGGAACTACAACCATTGCAGTGCTCATGTATAGATTAAAGGACTAGTTGCTATGCATCTCTAGTGCACATTGTGTAAGGCTCCATTTTATATGCCAAAAAAAAGGAGACTTCAAACAGCAGTCTCCAATTTTACATGCTGTCTTTAAAATGTCAGGATTTTAGGCCCATTGTATAATCGGTCTGTATTATGGTTACTGGAAAAGCTGCATTTTTTGCCAAAAAAGAATAGTACAACTGCAATACCACACAGTTTTTAAAAAATGCTCTCTAAAATTCTGAACATACATTGTGCTACTTTCAGTCCTTGCCAGTGTGGTGTGATGTGCATGCTATTTATTTATTTTCTCTGCAAGACTAGTGGAGTGGTGGTTGATGCACTCATCTTGTTATGACAGTGCTCTCTTATAGGAGCTTCCTCCTCCAGAGCGCAGGTCTGTGTCCTGTGTCTCTACAATGTATGTCCTATCACAGTAAAGGATTTCTGTTCAGTTTAAAAAAATATTCAGTATTAAAAAAATATTCAGTTTAAAAAGATATTCCTCTGGAAACAATGGGATGGCAACAAAGCAAGTCACTTCTAAAGTTTACATTTCTTTTGTGTTTGGATTTGCTCTGGTGTAACTGAGAGCAGGCTGGCAGAATAAGCATAGGCAGAGAACAAACACATTTGTTTAACAAGTGGTGACACTCTGCGTTCCCTTGCTGTAGAACTTTTTAGACTATCCAAACATTTTCTGTGAAGTATGACATATTAAAGTAAATGTGATAAAAAGACTGTTATAGTGGGCTGCTGGGGTGAAGAACAGTAAGTCAGAGGGTTTGCTCAGTAAAGATAAAAAGTTTTCCTTCAATCAAACTACACAGAGCCTGTAGATCCTTAGAAGTCAAATGAGAAATCCTTGCTTCTCCTATGCAAACAGGCCAAGTGATTGCCTTCAAAGCTTTCTGATTGATTCTAACGTTTTTTTCAAGGTTTTAACCTACTCGTTTGTGCTTTCATGTTAGGAGCTGCATCAGTTTCACTAATTTATCTGTTGTTATGCGATGTGATGGCTAAAAGTCAGCATGAGGTATCAGTTTGGCATGATTCTAAAGAAAACTGCTACCTTCTGTGCCATTAAAGAGAATATTCCATAGTATCCAAAGTGTAGGTGTTAGGGCAATCTAGAGCAATAACTTTATCAAGAGTAAAGTGTATGCATGCATTTACTTTATCAAGAGTAAAATATGCATGCATGGAAAAGTAATATCTATTACTTAGGCCTACTGCCTGTATAATTTCCAAAATTATGCTCTCTTCGTAAGCTCTTCGGCCAACTTGTGTGAGAAATTAACTAGTTTAATCAAGCTGTGCTGATCTTAAGGAAATCCCCTTCTCTATATATCAACCCATTTCTTTAGGTAGGCTGCAGTATCTCTGATTTCTAGCTAACAGTTAGCATCACTTTCACATAAGCCCAAGGTAGTTTACTACGCCACTGCCATGCTAATTTTGATACTTCTGGAGTTTACTGATCCTAGAATATTATAGTTAAATTTATGCTGTATTATTGCTGTATTATCCTACACTGTCTTATCCTATATATACTTTTTGAGGAGCAAGATCTTGACCTTGTAAATTAGGCGGATATGCTGATCTCTTCAACAAGTATTTCAGAGGAAGACATAAAATGTTCCGTTCCAGTCCGATTCATAATGTACCATTTCACTGGGGTCATCTATTAACGTATATGTGTAAAGAATTTGTTGTCAAAATGGCAAGTGCAATCAGTCTCTTTTCCCTTTTATCTCTGCTTTCCTGAATGGCATCATGGATTCCTTTTTCTCTGTCCTTCCAGGTGACACTAAAAATGCTACTCCTTACTGTGGTTGTCAGCATGTACAAGAGTTTCTTCATCATAGTGGGCATGTTCTTACTGCTTCTTTGTTATGCTTTTGCTGGAGTGGTTTTATTTGGCACAGTGAAATATGGAGAGAACATTAACAGGTACAGTGTGTCCTACCTCACGGGGATGTTCTTTAAACCATCCAAAAAACCCACATTCTGCTAGAGAGAAGCTTGTGTGTGGTAAAAAGTAGACAAGTATCCAGGTCTAGCTGAGGAACTCTAAGCAGAATTTCTGATAGGAGATACTGAGCCATCTTTCCAGTCCTTGTGCATTGGACCAAATGACACCCAGTCCAGCCCAGAGCAGACTGAGAGCTGTTCTTCATTATGCCAGCTGGAATAGACTTCAAAGCAGCACTGCACTAGCCACAAACTGCTAAAACACAGCGTACCTACTACATCTTATCAGCATCACCCAGGAACAGGATCCGTATACCAGGCTGGTACAGAGAGGGGACAGTTCTGTGAACTGGCTGTTAACTGGAGATTTCCCAATAAATAGCATCATCAGCCTTCAGGAAGAGAATGGAGACAGAAGATAGGATCTGGCCCCGAGTCTGCTTTTGCTCTTTGATAAAATGAGGCAAAATACTCAGACCTGTGTCTGAGCTAACGTTCAGTTATTATATCTTAAATCATGGAATAAATAATTCAATGAGCTCATTCAAATAATACTGTAACTATTTCCAGTTTAAAATAGTAGAGCAGTAGAAAATGGAAATGATTTGCATTTTTTCTTGCTGATGTTTTAACTCTGGGACGTGAAATGATCTCTCTCTCTCTCTTATTCTTTAAAACAGACATGCAAATTTTTCATCAGCTGGCAAGGCCATTACTGTACTCTTCAGAATAGTTACTGGAGAAGACTGGAACAAAATTATGCATGACTGCATGGTAAATACAGTACTGCCAGAAATAAAGTAGGCAAGAAACAGGAGACACCCTTGCATCTCAAAGTGTTTCCAGTGTCTTACCTTTGTACAAGGAATGTTGTGAATGCCTTTATGTCTTCAAGAGATATAATGTTCACTAAACCTCAGAAAATGACACACAAATTGCAGCTGTAGTCACACACTTACAATGTGCTATTTCATGGGGCTAGTTATTACTGATTTAAAAACAAAAATAAAAAGATGTTTTCAAAATCAGAAGTACAATAACTTGCTTTTCCACTGCTTTGACTGCGGCAAGGTGACTTTTCAGGTTAATTTTTAGGCTTAATGACCTCAAAATTTGTCCTGCAACCACTTTGTTTTGCCCAGGTAACTTTCTGTCTGTGGTTTCCATTGTGATGAAAATCATATTCCTTTCCTTTCTAAGATTAATGAGCAGGGAAGCGTTTTGAAAACTGTCACGTTTCAGAGCACCAAGTTGTTTCTTTACAGTGGCATAACGCACAATGTGCCTTGTGCATGGTAGGGAGGTCCAGGCCTAAGCCTTTGTTGACATACCTCTGTCTGTTTTCTGATTACTGACTGCTAAAGGAAAAACAAAAAACTGCCCACAGTAATGCCCACAGCATAATTCCCTAATTGTGAAGCTTTAAAAAAAAATTATAGTCATAAGTATTGTATTGATTGCAGAGAAACTAAGAACCTCTTTTTATGATTGATTGACTTTGTTTTCTTTTGTTTTGAAGGTTCAGCCTCCGTTTTGTACACCAGATAACAGCACCTACTGGAAAACAGACTGTGGAAATTATGCTGGTGCTCTTATGTATTTCTGTTCATTTTATGTCATCATTGCATACATCATGCTAAATTTGCTTGTTGGTAAGTGAAAATATACTTCAATAACAAAAATGTTCATCTTGGCATGTGGTACATTAGATTTGAGTCTGTTGTGTTATTCAGGTATGTACCTTCACTGTTACCTTATATGCATATGATGGTTTTGATACTCCTCTGGCATGATGTATGCTAAAACTCAGGAAGTTTGGGAATGAAAGCTTTTTGAACAAAGAGATGTGTTGTATTTGTAGAGTATCGTTACCCAGAGAACTATTATTTCCTGAGCTTTTCCTTCCTCCCATTAACATTTTTCCAACATGGTTGGACTTCTAATTGATTTTAGAAGATGTTAAAATAAGCATCTCACCAGCATTAAGATACAGCTTTTAAAAAGTGAGCCCAATGAATATTGCTGTAGCATGACGGTATATTACAGATTCAAAATCCCGGTCTGCACATACAGCTAAAGGCATTTATTAGTGTAAAGTTTGCACAACAGAATTCATATTCTGTTGAAATTCATCGTTGCTTGTAGAGATTAACCAGTTAGAAAGCAACTACTTTATTTATAGCGTATTTTGGTTTTGTGGTTTTCAGCTATCATTGTGGAGAACTTCTCATTATTTTATTCAACCGAAGAAGACCAACTTTTAAGTTATAATGATCTTAGGCATTTTCAAATTATATGGAACATGGTTGATGACAAAAGAGAGGTAAGAAACTTGATAATGAGCAAAGAAATCCAGTAAGTCTACATTTTTCCCTGAAAAAACATATGGGGAAAACAAAATGTGCTGACAAAACTCACTGAGCAGTTATTGTTCAGGTTGTGAAAGTTCAGTGAGCATGTTCATGGCCCTTCAAATACTAAACTGTATTCTTTACTACTGTGAAGTACTTATAATAGCAGATTTTAAAACAAATGTAAATATTCATAGGATCAATACAACAGCATCTTTCTCCCAGCTCCCTGAGACTTGTCCCCTTGGAAGTCTACAGACTCACATCCATTTATGTGCCTGATCTTCAGAAGGGCTTTGCTGAGATTTCGGAACTGTCTCCTGTAAGATCCTCATAGAGAAGCTGATGAAGTATGAGCTGGATGAGAAGATGATGAGGTGGACTGAACACTGGCTGAATGGCCAGACCCAGAGGGTGATGATGAATGGCACAGAGTCTAGTTGGGGCCTAGTAACTAGTGGTGCACCCCAGGGGACAATGCTGGGCCAAATCCTGTTCAAAACCCTCAGCAAGTTTGCAGATGGCACCAAACAGGGAGGAGTGGCTGATGAGCAGAGGATTATGCTGCCATCCAGAGGGACCTAAACAGGCTGGAGAGATGGGATGACAGGAACCTCATGCAATTCAAAGCGGACAAGTGCAAAGTCCTGCACCTAGGAAGTGCAGGACAACCCCAGGCACCAGTACATGTTGGGGGCTGACTGGCTGTAAAGCAGCTTGGCAGGAAAGGACCTGAGAGTCCTGGTGGAGACCAAGTTGAACATGAGCCATCAATGTTCCCTTGCAGCAAAGAGGGTTAATGGTATCCTGGGCTGCATTAGGCAAGGCATTGCGAGCAGGCCAAGGGAGAGGATCCTTCCCCTCTACTGAGCATTGGTGAGGCCACACCTGGAGTCCTGGGTCCAGTTCTGGCTCCTCTGTACCACAGAGGCATAGACATACTGGAGAAAGTCCAGCAAAGGGACACAAAGATGATGAAGGGCCTGGAACATGTCTCCTGTGAGGAAAGGCTGGGAGAGGTGAGACTGTTCAGCCCAGAGAAGAGAAGGCTCTGGGGGATCTCATCAATTTATATAAGTACCTGAAGGGAGGGTGCAAAGAGGATAGCACCAGGCTGTTTTCAGTGGTGCCCAATGACAGAACCAGAGGCATTGGGCACAACCTGAAACACAGGAGGTTCCCTCTGAGCATCAGGAAACACTTTTTTACAGTTAGGGTGACTGAGCACTGGCACAGGTACCAAGGGAGGTTGTGGAGCCTCTGTCCTTGGAGATATTCAAAAGCCATCTGGACATGGTCCGTCGGACAAGGTGACCTCCAGAGGTCCCTTCCAACTTCAACCATTCTGTGATTCTGGGATGAGATGAGCACCTGGGAAACTGAGCTGTTCAAATGCCCACACAAGTTAAATCATCATCTGAATGATTCATGACATCACTAAGATTAGAATATGAACAACTTTATGGTGAAAGAATTTGGTTGCTTGTAGTTGGCACATGGCTGTGCTGGAGATGGAAGCCACAGTCTGTCCTGATGGAATTGGAGAGTTCTGCATCCATCGTGCCCAGCACTGACCATATCTCTCTCTGATGTGGAACAACACATTACAGCAATTACAGGCTCATTTAGCACAAGAAAATATTTAAAGCGTATGGATACCACAGTTTTGGTGGGAAATACTTTCAGTCCTGGTTTTTTAACAGCAGATCAAAATTGTTGTCACAAAAGTGCAACATGTGCTAGGTTGACTCTTAGAGGAGAAGACCTTTGAAAAGCCAGTAAACTCCCAACATTATCCTGTCCTGTTCTGATGCACACAGACGGGGACAGGATGACAGCCAGGTATAGGCCTGGCTGTGAATGTTTAAATTATAGTTTAATTTCAGTTTTTCAAAGGCAGCTCTTTGGATATAATTCTCCTTACAGATAAATGCAAATGGGGAAACTAAATCCCTAAGCAATTTTGAACATTTCTGACAAAATTACTAGTACAGATTCTCATTGTGTATCAGTCAAACAAGAGCAAAGCCTTCCATGAATGTGCTGAAGAGCTGGCTGCATGTGTATATTCTTCAGTAATGTATTCACAGTGACTTAAATAGGCCAAGATTTGACATGGAGTCTTTGGAGAAATAGTGTTTCTCTCACTGATCAAGTTGAATGTCTGAGTTGGTTGTTAGGTCACAGTAATAATTTAACATCTATTATGCAATTTTACCCAGGGAGTAATCCCTACCTTCCGAGTGAAATTTCTGCTGAGGCTTCTGCGGGGCAGGCTGGAGGTGGATCTTGACAAGGACAAGCTGCTGTTCAAGCACATGTGCTATGAAATGGAACGGCTCCATAATGGTGGTGATGTCACTTTCCACGATGTGCTCAGGTACCTTGAGATTTTCTCTAAAGTTGTAGAAGGGGTATCATGGCCTGTATTTCTCTCCAGGCTAACAAGTATTCATTAGGCTTGGGAAAAGGCCACAGATGCACTGCCATTTTAAATGTAATACAAAAACTAGTTTTCCCTTTTTATCCTGAAAAAATACTAGTGATGGAAAATACAGGTCCTAGGGAATCAGCTCTAAGTAATTTTAACATTTTCATTGGAGGCAGTTTGTCATAAACAGCAGTCATATGTTGTTCTTGTATCCCGAGCAATGCGTTGTTGTCCCCACTCGTGTAGCAACATGACAGTGAATCTGACTAGAAATAAAATAGAAATGTGAATATTATGCAAGTGTAAACACTTAGGGGGGAAAAAAACACAAATGACCTAGTTGCTTACAGTTCAGCAGCTCACCTGTTTTGGATAGCTAGAAGTAGGTGATAAGGTCTTCATTTGTTTTGAGCACCAAAGTCTTTTCTGAAATCATGTCAGCATTTTGTAGCTTCAAATGGAAATTTATTGCACATACCTGAATTATGTATTTTTGCACTAAGGTCTTAAGGATAAGCTTTGATTTTCCAAATTAAAATGTAAGGTCACCAGCATTTAAAAAAAAAAACAAAACTGTGTTTCTTCCAGCATGCTTTCATATAGGTCTGTTGATATCAGAAAAAGTCTTCAACTGGAAGAGCTGCTTGCTAGGGAACAACTGGAATATACCATAGAAGAGGAGGTGGCCAAACAGACCATACGCATGTGGCTGAAGAAGTGCTTAAAGAGAATCAGAGCAGTAAGTCGAGCCAAACCAGGGTCTAAATGGTTGCAGAAATTGTCCTGCTCAACAATGCTGGAATTGGCTGTCACTATGCTTCATTTACGCAGGAGTAACGATAATATTTATGTGAAGAAGTATGTAGCAGTTGCTAACTCAGCCAAAAAAAAAAAAAGTATGTTACAGCTCAATTGAAAGCACTACAAAAATAAGCATCCTTTGAAGGCAAAAACTGTCTTCCTGCCAAAAATGTATCTATCTTTTCAATACAGCAGGAAGATGCATCTGCAGACACCAAAGTCAAAGGGACAAAGAAAAAACAATGTAATTTGATGAAACCATCATAGACTAATCCTTCCTCACAAAATGTAATTGTATAATTTCCTTGCCTCTGCTGGCAGAAGATACCATGATCAGTCACCAGCAGATATGGAATCCGTATTAAGATACAACATTTGAATGAGCCATTACAGTAAAATACATCATTTGAATGAGCCAGTGCAGTAACTCTGTGTGTGCAAATTAGCAATGTGTACATGCAAATTAGGTATATGAACCATGGCACACAGTAGCTGTGTCTATACTAGTAAATTAAGCAGGGCCAAGGCATGGGCTCAGTACTCAGATGGGGTCACCCATAGTCATTAGCCTGTTCCTCGGCACAGTTTTGGCCTGTGTATACTCATACTCTCCCAGACCACTGCCGTATGGTCTCCCGGACCCCCGCCATAGGAGCTTCACTGCCCTCCAGGTATGGGTCAGGGTGGAGATTGCTCCCAATAGGCAGTGATTGAAGCTGTCTCGTATAGTAGAGGAGACATTAGCCAGATCATGCAAGTCGTGGACCATTACTTGGCTTCTGCACTCCAGGAAATTCCAATCTGTGTAATTTACTAGTATAGACTTAGCCAGCGCTTCTGTGTTCTGTTTACGCGGTGCTTCTGATCGTCAGAAACATTTTCCCCTTTTCTCAGGATAGCTAAAATATATGCTGATCAAAGTTTGCCTTGGATGAAATTTATATTAAAAGTTTTCAGGAAATTTGAATTGGGTTTTGCAGTTATTCTCTTCTTTTCTTCCAAAAAAAACTCTTCCTTTGTATAAAAAGTCACAGCCTGGTTGCCTTGATGTCTGATTTTTCAGTTACTGTAAGGCTGAGTCCTTTTGATGCATATATTGACAAGCACATTTTGATTTATATCTTTTGATGTGTGTATGGACAAGCTTGAGAACTGGGACCATGTGCATCTCATGAGGTTCAACAAGGCCAAGGGCAGGGTCCTGCACCTGGGTAGGGGCAATCCCCAGTATCAATACAGGCTGAGGGATCAAGAGATTGAGAGCAGCCCTGCCGAGAAGGACTTGGGGGTGTTGGTGGATGAAAAGCTGGACACAAGCTGAAAATGTGCACTTGCACCCCAGAAAGCCAACTGTATCCTGGGCTGCATCAAAATAAGTGTGGCCAGCAGGTCAGTGGAGGTGATTCTGCCCCTCTACTCCGCTCTGGTGAGACCCCACGTGGAGTACTGCATCCAGTTCTGGAGCCCTCAGCACAGAAAAGACATGGACCTGTTCGAGCAGGTCCAGAGGAGGGGCACAAAGATGATCAGAGGGCTGGAGCACCTCTCCTATGAAGACAGGCCAAGAGAGATGGGCGTTGCTCAGACTGGAGAAGAAAAGGCTTCAGGAGACCTTATTGCAGCCTTTCAATACTTAAAGGGGGCGTACACGAAAGATGGGGACAAACTATTTAGCAGGGCCTGTTGCAATAGGACAAGGGATAATGGTTTTAAATTAAAAGAGGGTAGATTCAGAGTAGATAGAAGGAAGAAAAGTTTTTTTACAGTGAGGGTGGTGAAACGTGGGAACAGGCTGCCCAGAGAGGCGGTAGATGCCCCATCCTTGGAAACATTCAAGGTCAGGTTGGACGGGACTCTGGGCAACCTGATCGAGTTGAAGATATCCCTTCTCATTGCAGGGGTGTTGGACTAGGTGACCTTTAAAAGTCCCTTCCAACCCAAACTATTCCATGATTCTATGATTATTTTTTTTCATAAAAGCTTACTTCTTGTGTGTGGAGGTTTTCCATAGAGACCTGTGATCATGGGATCTCGCTTCTTCTGTTTGTAAATTTATTAAAAAACATAACTGGACAATTTGAATGTAATGTACATTCAAGCTGAAACATCAATGTTCAAGGCATATTCAGATAGTTTCATTTTGATCTCATCTCTGTAATAGTAATGGCAGTAAATTTAATCTCAGCTCTCAATTCTGGGTTTGTTCAACTCTGTTGTTCATTTCATTATGATATTGAATTACACTATGTTAAAGTAAATATGCTATTCATTTCACTCTAATAATATGGTTCAGATCATTTCACATTATATGAACCTTTTATAAACTGAATGTAATTATGGAAGTTAATATATATTTTCAAATTCTTTTGTTAGTCTCTAAGCCTCTCTAGAGGCTCTCTAGAGCATGTGAAAACTACCCAGGAAAGTGAAACCCTTCCTAAGGGCTGTTTATTTTAATTTAAAAGCAAATTAGATTGTAAGTTCATAATGGTAGTGGTTTTGTTTTTCTATTTGTACTGTAAATCTGTACTCAGTCCCAAGGTTTCTGCTACTGTTTTATTCAGTCCTATTGACAGCCTGTTCCAAAGTCCATGAAAGAAATCAGATTTTTTTCATTGTCTTCGTGTAATTCTTAGTGAATCTCTACCAATTTACGTGTTTCCTTTTCTTTGCAACAACTTTTAACTCATAAATTCAAAAATGTATATGTTTTTAAACTCTAGGTTTAAACCAACAGTTGAGCAACTTGCCTTCCACTTAGTATAGTTTATGTGTTTCATCCTCTATTTTCTACATAAAGGTTAGACATATGCTGGAAGTCACTTTAAATAGCGGCCATCTGATACATGTAGGTTTATCAATGCACCTGGTATCCATATCTGGCACTCACTGTTTGATTAAATAGTTAGAAGGCTTTAAAAAACGGTGACACACCAATGAGAACATTTTTGTTGTCGCATATTGTACCTTGATAGAAACAACAGCAGTCATGCAGCATTATCCATAGCCTACGAGAGAGTCAACAGCAGGAGTTGAGCCGATTTCTGAATCCTCCCAGCATTGAGACAACACAGCCAAGTGAAGATATGAATGCTATTAATCAGGAGAACAGTGCACAGCCAGAGGTACGTTAACCAGAAGACAAGCAGCTACTCAAAACAAATTCAGAAAACTTCCATGTTTCTTATTTGTTCTTTTTTAAACATCATTTTAACTGGAAAAGTTGAAAGCAGTATCTTGTTTTGCTTCATTCTTTGCCTTCAGATGGAAAGGCAAGATGGTCTAAGGCAGTAATTCCCTAGTTTAGTTAGCTGTCTTGCTAGCACCACAAAGGGCAAACTGAGCTGTACGACTGGCACCACCAACTTTCAGCTCTGGTATGAGCTGTATACAGGCTCAGGGACTTGAAGTTTTCCTGTTCAAGCATTCTGAACTAGTTTTTACACTGAGAGTGATAACACTGGGCATGCTGGGTCCTGGCTCTTCCAGGGTAGGAAATGAAGAAGGTCCAACATAAGGACTCCACTGTAGAAGGCTAAGAACAATTTTGTACCCTTCAGTGGGACTGTATAATGGAATTGAGCCCAAATGGTCTTTTTTTTTCCTATTAGTAGTAGTTTTCTGGGGCAATAAAGATTAGAAACCATGCTGCCTTAGCAAATGGCGATATATTTTGTATGCATTCGTGTATAAAGCTTGGAAATAGAATAGAAAGATAAACCTTCTTAAGATTATCCCCATGCAATGGGGAACGATGACTGAGCTTCTTTTTTCTCTGTTCAGACAAGTAGCCAGCAGCAGCTCCTTAGCCCAACACTTTCTGACAGAGGTGGCTATCGACAGGACTCTGCAGATGCTGGGAAACCTCAGCGGAAATTTGGGCAATGGCGTTTGCCATCAGGTAAGTGAAAAATATGTATCAGTATGGTCCTCACATGCCAAATCACTGCTGTACAATACAAGGCCGTGAGAGGCTTCATGATCCACCTCCCACCTGCTACTTGCACCCACATCAGGGTTTTTCTACCCTCATGCATGCTGAAATACAGCAATCTCCCCCCTTCCTCCCAGTTCTGAAAGTTTGGAAGATGGGCTCAAGCATTGCCATGTGCAGGCTGTTGGATTTTTTTACATTTTCATACATTTACTCAGGATCTCTGGGTTGGGGGCTGAACCATTCCATGTGTTTGCGTAGCATCTTGTTCATTTAGAGTTCTCTTTTATCGTATAGAGCACAGTGAAAATTAGTGTTTTTCCTAACAACCGTAATAACTTCTGAGTGCCTTGTCTTGCCTAAGCATACCAGGTGTATAATTTATGCTTTACAGCATAATAATACATTTTTATATCTTCACTTCAACCAGGAATTGGCCAGGCATACAATCAGTTTCCTGTTTATTTTCTCACAAACAAGAAACACCCTCAGTTACTCTAGTAACTACAGTCTGCGAGAAAAGGCAGGCTAGCCTGTGCCTTATAGGAAGGTGGGAGAGGTGCTTAGGTACAGTTTGAGGCCTTATTAAGTCTTTATCTCAAGAGCACTCTCCACCACCTGAAATATTCTCTCTTAAAGTGCATATTGACCTCTGCTGCCTGCCACACTCGTGACCAATAGGTGTGTCAACCTGCTTTCAGCTGTCCTCAGTCAGTCCTATTCGGAGTCAGAGGGCTGCCTTTGAAGGCTGCCACTGTTCAGGCCCTAATCATATCTAGGTGGAAGTAGAAGAGATGGTCGTGCTATGAGTACCATTAACCCTTCATTTGTGACCAGAGTACTTGTCCAATAAACAGGACAGCTTAATAGAGAGCTTTCAATCCATGATTTCCGCTTAAATGCCACTGAGTAGCAAAGATCAACATTTTGTTGGAACAGAGAGAAAGAGTAAAAGGGGGAGCATGCTAAGGAGGAATCATACTATTGTAGCCAACTGGATAGGTTTTTCAAGTAAGAATAAGGTTCAGGGTTTCCTTTCTTCACACTGACCTTGGCCATGTTGCTTTTGGACAGTCTCAGAAAAGGAGGGTCACCTCCGTGCACAGTACAGTCTGGCAGATGATAAGTACTCTGCCCCCAATCCAACAGACATGTATTTAAGATCATGAATAGCATCATTAAGATCAATTGTGGTTTTCGTGTATTTACACATGTTTTTTAGTGCTTTCCTAAACCCATACCAGCACCTTGTACTGGCTTCCACCCCTAGGCCATAGTTAAATATCACTTTCTAGGTGTAGCTGCCAACTCTCAGTGCGCTTTTCTCTCCATTTTTCTGGCACTTACCGCTTCCACCATTTTGCTAGCAGGTCAGCTCACTTAAGTACTGCCTAAACCATTTAGGTTGCAATTAGCCAGGTAAGAAGAGACCTATTGCCTCAGCTATCACAGCAGAAGGAAATGAGGCACTGCTCAGTTAAACTGCTGTACCAGCAGGTTAGTGGGAGCGGGGTGAACAGCTGGAGCTGGAAAAAAAAAAAAAAAAAGGAACAGAGCTTCACTCTTTCTGCACTAAATCACTTTAAAGCTGCCCCAACCCAGCTAGTTCTGTATACCTCAATTCTACACAAAAATGTTCAAGAAGCACATCTACTCTAATATAGAATTTTCTGTTTAATTTCATAGCCCCCAAACCAATAAGCCATTCAGTGTCTTCAGTCAACCTCCGCTTTGGTGGACGTTCAACTATGAAATCTGTTGTATGCAAAATGAATCCCATGTCTGATGCTGCTTCTTGTGGATCAGAAGTCAAGAAATGGTGGACAAGACAATTAACTGTGGAGAGTGATGAGAGTGGAGAGGACCTTCTTGATATCTGAGAAAAAGTCATACTGCAACACTAACCACTTCAAGTACAATCTAATTTTCTATGTTTAGAATTTAAGACGCTGTGCAAGGTAAAATTTCTTTAAAATCAATGATGTCATAATTTTTTTCAAATGCTTATCCTTCTGCCATATGAAGCATAGCACACACTTACATGTTAGGATTCACCGCTATAGGTACTAACTGTACTTTAAGAAACCTGTATACAATAGTAGTACTAACAAAGCCAGAGAGACTATCTTGCCTTTAGCAGACAGAGCGTTGAAAGATTTCATATGTTCTGTAGCTATATAATGAAAATGTATTTTGATATACACACCTCTGTGTTTTTCTCCAACCTATACCGTACTTTAAAGTGGCAACACTTTACAATACAGGGGTAATATATTTCTTCTTTTTGTGTTTTCCCTCAGTTCTTATTTAGGAACATTTCTTTAGAAAGATTTTATTATTCACAAATGACCTGAAGAGGTCAGCACTGACTTCATGTTCAAGGGAAGTATTTTTACAAAGTACAGATTCTGAATTACAAATCTAAGCTTTTTCTGGACCTTTTTTTAAAATATGCAAGATACAGTATAACTTATTTTAAAATCAGAAGGTGAAGGATTGGCTTTTAAAATGTAAATATATTTGGGGTTTGGTTAATTATGCAAAGAGCTTGATTTTCATAGAGAAAACAGGGGAAAAAAAAGAAAAAAAAAGACATGAAAACTGTGCATTTAAGCATCTAGCAAAAGACCTCCATGTGAAAAACATGGTTAATGCTTCATTTTCAGAATATACTGGTTACGTATATGTATGGTGTCATTATTCTCCTGTTAACTGGGTCCCATTTCCTTGTGTAGTTGTAAGATAACTTTCTTCTTGTCTGTGTGATAAAAATCAGCATGTTGGGGGGTTCTAATTACAGAGTAGTATTGTGTGGCTTTTAAAATACAGTTCAGTTTTGTCTGTAGGTAGAAGTGAATTTTACTTACCCACTTTACTACTCATGCTACAGCCCTGCAGAGCTAAGGCATGGCACTGTACTGTGGGTAAGTACCTTTGCCCCTTTTATCCCAATGCATCGTATTTTGACGTGTTAGCCTTCTTTTGTTTTACGAAGCACCAACAGTGCTACATTATCGCTGGTGAAAAAACAGCTATCCCTTTCATAAAAGTTTTCCCAGTGAAAGGCCAATGCTATACAGAGACGGAGGTGGAAAAGAAAAGCCTCAAAACACAGCAGAGTTAGTTAGTTTCAGAATTTAAGGCTGTCTAAAAATGCGGGGTAAAATCGTGCCCTTCCCTCAAGGAAGAAGTAAGAGGTGGCAAATTTTGTTGCTCGGCCCTCAGCTGGATTTTTTAGCATAGCTGGGACCTTTCCGTTACCATTGTTTCCTATGGAAATGATAGGTTGCTCTAACCTGGCCTGATGTGAGATCTTGTAAGAGGCTCACAATTAATGTACATCACCACTTAAAAAATATATCCTTTAAAAAGCAGACAAAAGCCAGTGCTTTGCGATGGTTTCTGGCCAAAATATTAATGTAAACTGGTCAGAATACAGCATTATTTTCACAGATGCCTTGACCATAAATGCAAAATTAGTTTTGGCCATAAAATACAGTTTTCTTGGCATCTATCAATGTTTTGTTCCCTGTGTATTGTTGAACATGGTTTAGATTTTTTTTCAAAAATAGTCATATTAAACACATCTGTGTTTTGTGGTTTCTTTATATGTTTTGGGGTATATTTAAGTTTAATTCTAGTCAACTGTAACTCTATAGTAACAGGACGTGTGCATTCTCTTGTTTACTAGATTATGAACCATCAACTGAACTTCATATGCAAACCCATTATTTTGTGTTCTGTTTTGTGCTTAAGTTGAGGTTTTGTATATATGACAAAAAGATAAATATTGGATTTATAAAAGATAGTATCTTTGAAAGTTCAATAATATATTGAACTGCAGGTCTTTCTGAGTCATTCTTGCTGCAAATCTTCTTTTTAAAAATTTGGCAAACATTTTTTCCTTGCCTTACAGTACTCTGTCAATAAAAGTGAGTTGCTTTAAGCAATATTCCTCCCTCTGGTTTTCATTCTAACTGCATTTGCTATGTCTGGCTTATCTGTGATAATGCTGCATAGTGGCTAGGTGTGTGGGCTGTACAAGATTATTTAAAGAGATGCTTTCAAACACTTCTAATTGGAGGGACTTGGGTTTTTTGGTGAGAAGTCCAGCAGCTGACCTCAACGGTACTGCCATGAGGGGTCTTATTCAAAAAATGGGACTAAATAGGACTGTTCATTATTTTTGTTTAACCCAGTTTCTTTATTTGCTTTCGAGCATAGATGTGAATGTGCACGCGTGTGTGTGTGCGGGGCAGGGGGAAATCTGTGATGGAAACACTGTAATGGTTTCATAGACTGCCTTCCAATATCTTCCAAGACACTGGAGATCCGTGGACCATCTACTTTAACTGGCAAGCTGGCTCTGAGAGAGCAGTGCTCACCTGTTTATTCCCCCAGTTTACTTTTGCAGGTATAGGGAGTGAAATGGAGTTACAAAGATATGAAAATAATATATAGTAGAGCACCCAGGTGACCAGGTTGGTGAAAACCTCCTTAGTATGGCACCCTCAACATAACTAAAGAAAGTGATAACCTTCTACCCTGCAGCAGAGCAACCAATCCACATTTGCACATTGAAGGTGAAGAAGCAGAGGGGAGAATTGAAGAGTGACTGAAGTTCAAACAGCCTGCACAAACAACGGAGAGACACAAAGAGGAAATCGTGCATCAGGAAATCAGAGTCAGCCCAGACAGCCTGAGAGAAGTTCAAACAAGAACAGACCCTAGACAAAGGTAAACAAAAAATTGCCAGGGGAATGTTACTACCTAGAGTGCTCTTGGCTCCTGGAATTAAATACAGAGTTATCCCGTACAAATGAAAAGAAGAAAGTGTTTAGATTCCTTTTCATCAACTAAGACAGCACTGTCGCATAGGAAGCAAGTTATAAAATTCTTCATGGCTTGGGTGGGCCAAAAGTGTAGCGCGTGTTGTCAGTGTTCAAGTAAAAACCAGCTTGTGGGAAGCCTGAGAACATGCAGCAAAGATGTATCTCAATATCATTCCAAAGTCAGGTCAGATTTCAGACAATCACTTTTGTAATGAAGAAATTAATAACCTGAAACCTTTTGCTACTGGAAGATATCCAACTGAATTAAGAGCTAAAAACATAAAGTACACTTTTATCTGGCAAGCTGAAAATGCCATAATTGTTTTAACTAATGAGGACCAATCGGGCTTAAACATCTTCAAAATAACGTTACATTCAGTATTGTCTGCATTCAAAGACCAGTATCACAGCTTCTGAGAAGCCAAAGAAGATTTAGATGCCAAAAGCAAGTGAATGACTTTGTGTGAATAATCTTTTTTGTTCTCTTCTTTTATTCACAATGTGCCCACAGTTCTTGTTATTGTGCAGATAATGATGTCTGTGAATAACTGATGCAGGAGAAGAGTTTGCACTGTTGTAACAGCACATTTGGAGCCCCAGCAAGCAAGATGTATGCTAAACCTGCCATCCAAGAATGCACGCTCGTTCTCCTGCAACATTTCCACAAGTTAAAACAAACACTGGCCTGGGTTGTCAGTCAAAATTACCAATAGGATTATCTCGGTCTCCCCGAATTTAGGTTTAGGAGGCTGAATTCATTCCTTCTATTGAAGGCAGTTTAGTCACACTGCAGATGAACTTGCTGCGATGCATAGGCTGATGTTGGGAACTTGGCTGCCCTGGTTTGTTCAATTGCTCTGCAACACAAAGGGAGCCTCACTAGAATTCAATTAACCTTCTTCTTCATCCCAAGGGGCTGGTGTTGGACCCCATTAGCAGCTGTTGCCCATTGTTCTCAATGAAGAACCTCTAAGCACCGAGTTATTAACCCGTCAGTGGGCTAAGTGTACAGGCAGTGACATTTTATCCCCTTTCCACAGGTTCCTGTCTCAGATACTTATTCCAGTACCCTTACTTGTTTCATACTTTTACCTGACTTGCGTACCTGCACTGGGGAATTTGGCTAAATTACTTGGGCACCTACAAAAGTGTGTTTCATAAAAGGGTAGCTTACTGGAAGGCAAGAAATGTCTAAGTACAGACAGAAAAGGAAAAAAACAACAGTCCATCTGCCTGAAGAGCTGTTGACATTAGCCTTGCCTTCTTTCTGAATTCAAGCAGCGGCAACCAGTGGTACAAGCCTCCAGTGTCCATTGGTTTGTTTCTGGAAAACTTTTGCTAAGGTTGGAAACAACCTGTTTGATACCAGATCAACATCAGTGGGTCCTAGAGACTTGGGCAGTCAAGTTCTAGCTGGATCATCCACATGATGGAAATCAGTGCAGTGGGGTTACTGTTTGTGAGTAAGTTTACCCTCAAAGGTAAGAGAAGAGGGTTTGTCCCTGAGTTCACTGGTAGAGAAGCTGGATGCCACATCCTCTCTCATATCCTGTATTCTGATTTTCTAAAATTGATTCAGCCAAAACATTGCTTTGCTGACATGCCCTGCTGTAGCAGGGGAGTTGGACTAGATGATCTCTAGAGGTCCCTTCCAACTCTGAAAATTCTGTGATTCTGTGATTCTGTCATCACTGCGGGTCTTCTTCCCAAACACTTCAAATATTTCACAAGCCGAGGAAAGAAACAAATCACTTTTCCCAGTTCCTCCTCAGCTGCCTGTGAAGTCCTCCAGTGCTACCAGACACGTGGTGGTGATTTTTGTGGTGCCCCTGTAGGCACTGCTGGTCCCAGCTGCCCCGCTGCTGGAGACAACCACCTCCTCATCAAAGCTGGAAGATGCAAACAGGTGCTTGTGCCTCTGTCCTCCATGGCAAAACATGGATTTTCAGCTGCACCTGCTGTGGAGGGGAGTTAAAGCTCTACCGAGGTTGGTAGAGGTTGAGCAGATGCAGGGCCCCTCTGGCCACTCTGCCAGGAGAGGGGTACCT